AAATTGCCTTTTAAACCATGGATGACTATAGTAACTTGATTATTCTGCAGGTTCAGTTTAGCTATCCAAAAGGAGCAGATTCCGCAGAGGTGAGTTCTGAACTCCGCAGGCTGTCATCAGTTGGAATACTCTTTCCTCCACGCTTCACCAGCGTAGCATGTACATATGCATGTACATATACACATACACACCTTTCAAAAACCCACATGATGAGCTTTAAAACAGAGAGGTTACCACTTAAATCTTACAAAGCTTTTGGTTGTTGTGCTAGCATCAAAAAACCATTCTGAGCAGAGTGCTACTTCACACTTCCCTCTGCTGCTAAAACCCTGGCACCCTGCTCCAAAACACTGTGTCTTTTAAAGAATTTCTTGGAGAGGGACACAGTAAGTGAAGAGTGGAGGAATCTTACCAAATACTCCATTGATACTAGACATCCAGGCAGTTCAAAACAGCTATATCTTGTACGCCAAGAGGAGAGAGGGGCTTGGATTGTTAGGACAGAACTGCCTTCTTCTGCGTAGTTCTCTGTTCCTCTCCCATCTTGCTGGCTACAGTAGTGGCTGTTATTGCAATAAAAAACAGCTGCGTTTTTTCAAACAAGTATTGCTGTAGTTAGACTGGCTGATTCCCTCACAGATCAAGACAGATGCAAGAAGCTTCACAGTCAGAAGATCAGCATTCAATGGGCTTGTACGTTTGTTTCTGGCAGGTCTAGGAAGCAAAAATCTTGTCATGCTTCACGTTATTCTGAAACCTTTAAATTTCTTATGATGTTCAGGAAGGTTATGGGATTAAGTTTCACAAATTTAAGATTTGTTTTGTGATTTGAGATTAAGAGATTGGAGATTTAGGATTTACTTTTAATAAGAATTTTCCCTGCTATACATATAATCATCTAAGGACAAATGGAATGTTTAGATGCCAAAGTAACACACAGTGGTTTAAAATCTAAATTTATCATTTTTCTCATGTACATTAATTGCAACAGATAAATGGAGGGCAGGTGTCTTGTACAGAATTAATGACTAGGTCTATCAAACAAGAATTCCTGGAACGTTCCTAGAGCACCCAGCTGCTAACATTTGGTTTTAACACAAACAGCTGACTTTCACATTGGAAGAGCAAAAATGAAAGCAATAGGCAGCTATAGCACTACTTCCAAACAGTTAACTTCCCTACTTAGCAATAGGAATAGTGACCTATATAATGGGCAAGGATTTGACACAAACTGAAGAAAGTGTCATAAAAATCTCATCACTGAAGGTCTAATCTGACCTGCAGGGAACAGTGTTGGGCTTTAAATAGTCATAGTTGTATTGTTGTCCATAGTAGAGGGGTTAGATTTTCTAAACTTTTTCAGAATGCTGGAATATAGTAACAGAAAAAATGTTTTACACTCCTGAAATGCACAGGATGTTAAAGAAACACCAGTGTGAGCTTATTGTAATTTTTTTAAGGGAAAAAATCCTGTAAATTAAGGTACAGTCAGACTATATGTTCACTACTTTGGATTCTACATATTTAATGATTATCATCTTTCTGCCATACAACTATTACATGCACATTTTGAAGTTACTGCCAATTCATAAATTTTTACTACTGAAATTTAGAAATGAAGAAACGTATGGGGAAATAAAGTGAATGACTCAACGCAGTAATTCACCTTATTTTAGAGCAAGGCCTCATTTCTGTGGTGCACAAAACAATGGCTTCTAATAGACCCCTGCATAGGATAGGCAATGTTTCTAAAGCAGCACAGGAAACATGATAATATTCAATAAGAAATAGAGTCTTGAAAAATCACGGACCAACCCAACATTCTGTTAACATTAATTTTATAAAATACCTTACAAGAACAGATAAAGAACTTGAGCTTACATCATAACCAAAATTTAAAAAGAATGTTGAATAAAATATAAATTAATTGAACACATCACTAAGTTTGCCACATGTTAGACAAGTTTATAAAAGGCATTTTCAGATAAAATAGTTATTTGAAAGAAAATTTTCAAAATGGAAACTACTGAAGTCCTTTTTTCAAGAAGTCATTCCTAAAAGCGCTGAATTCCAGGTCAACAGGTAGTACCTGAATTTGCTTAGAATACGGTGTTCATTCGCTTCAAAATTTGTCAAGCTTTAAGACACAACTTTAAATGCTTTCAGGTCAGAGTCATCAGTGCAAAGTAAAGCTTCAAGCTGAAAATGAGAGAAATATAACAGAAGAAATGATTCTGGTACAAAACTTTCTAAATTCACATTATGAAAAAACTGTGCCAGCCGCACTCTTGAGATACTGAACAATAACAAATTTTACCAGTTGCCATTTTAGGGTTCTAGCCAAGCCATTAACACACCTAATCATATTAAATTCACAATTTCTATTTTTTTTCTACTCATTGTCTTTGGAAGAGATCCATGCTGCTGATGTCCCCTTTCTTTGCTCAACTTTTGATTCAGCCAATTAGCTTAAAATGCAGTAATTTAGCCAAAAGGAGATAAAAGGTGAGGCCAACAAATACCAGATTGATGCTCTAAAGCCTACAATCACATTTAATTGGAAGAAATATGACAGCACACATTTCTGAGTTTAAACAACTTTGTTCATTCAAGTATTCTCACTGAAGTCAGACTTCCTTAAAGTTATATATGCGCAAAACACACTGCCAGGCTCAAACTCTTCAGTCTTTCAAAGGTTAAAATATGTTTAGAGAACTATGTGTTTAGCGAACTAGACTGTAGCCAGATTAATTTCTTTTAAGCCTATTAATTCCTGCATAGTAAACATCAACCTCTAGCAAAGCAATTTCGCTCTGTTTGACTTTTAAGCTATTAACCAAAACTGGTTTGACAGTGTCTTCACGTTCCACTATTTAAAGTGTTATTAGCACACTCATTTAAAGATTAATGGAACTCTTTTCAAGTTACCACTCAGAATATTGCTCATCAAGCTTTTTTTAAAACATACTAACAACAACAAAAAAAAAAACGTCACTGGTGGTCACAACCAGAAAGGAAAGGGAAAAATTTAAAACTCTTCATCAATCACATTGGAGTTCAAGCCTTTAATTGAAACATAAGGCTGACATTCATACTAAGCTGCTGCACAAAAATGAGAAAATGAATTCTCCATTACAACTCAAAATTTCAAAACTCAGTCTGTAGGTTGTCTGGTCATCCTTGCAAAGTATTCTTTTTTCACTGTCATTGCTATGCTCGCAGTTATGCTAGAACCTCATTTAATTCCAGTATAAACACAGTGTTTAATTTAATAGTATGAATCATTTTGAATTTATAGTTCGCTTAAATGCTGGAGTGATGTTGTAAACAAACCCAATGAACAAGAGGCTTCAAGACTACACAAAACTTCCCCCTAAAACAGAGGAGAGATTCAACTGAACTAAAAGCACAGAATATAACTTCAACCAAAACTTTTCATAAGCTGTATTCAAGGAATGAACATTCAAAGGAAGCTGAAAATGCTCTTTTCTAGGACAAACTCAGAATAATTTGCTTAAATCAATGTGGAACAGAAGCTCTTCTTTATACCCTGAATTCTCCTGATCATCTTTTATTACTGAAGCAGATTAATGATATCCATCCTATGCTTTCTGATGCTACAAAATAATTTTTTCAATTAGTTTTAAGAATAAGTTCTTTGATGAAACGATGGACTTTGAGATATCACAGTAATTTCCACCAGGTGTTTCCAGTTATTTTGCATCCTGCAATTCAGCCATTTGCTGTCTTTAATAAAAAAAAAAATAATCTTCAAAACAAATGCATTGGCTGCTGAAATCTGATCCTCTAAGTGATGTAACTCTTACCACTTGCTCTGAGTGAAGGCAAACACTGACAGCTGAAAGGAAACAATAAATATATACCTCACACCCAGCTCATCACACTGTGAAAATTCTCATATACTGGTCACATCTCAAAATGTGAAAAATATTCTAACTACCACATAGTTTTATCTTTTCAATAGTAATAAAAGAAAAGAAGATTTCAAAGTTTCCTAAAAAAAACAAGAAAGCAGCAATCTTGAGAATTATTCTGGAAATATTTGGACTCTTAACTTTGAGTATACTAAGAACAGAGCTGTCTTCTCTCTCTCTTTTCTAAAATTGGGAAGATTTTTAATTTGTCGTGCATCAATTTGGGCTCAAAAATAAAACGTCAAAGCATGGCGTATCACTAGCCACATAAAGCAAAAACGTATTTCCAATGAAGTAGCTGGAAAATGAGTGAATGAATTTGGGTATTAAACACGTATTTGAGAATAATAAAGTGTACAGAGAAGGAAGTTACTTAAGAACTTTGCAAAAAATATTGCTACAGTAGCATTAGGAATCAACAGTGCATCAAAAAATTAAAGTTTCCATGTTAATACAAACTGATCCAAGCCACAATGAACCACAGGATAATCACTGAAACAAAAAATTAACTGCATGCTACTTTACAGAAGGTAGAACTGGAATTTACCTGAATACAATTAATACGATTCAAAAAGGTTCCTTCTAGTCTGGCATGCCTCAGTTTACACAGGTCATCGAGAATTGGTGCCATTAGTGTGTAACCAAAACACAGTATTATCATGTGCATTTGGCTTTTTTGAACATTCGCAATCAAATACTCAAATTTGAAAGAGCTTTTACATGTCAGAACTCAGTATCACTGCTGGATGAAGTGTTTTATTTGTTGGTTGGGATTTTTTTGTGGAAACTGTGTGCAAAAGACCTTGAGCACTACAGGTAATGGAATTCATGTTAAACAGAAAGCTGCCCAACATTACTGTCAAAATACCTTCAAAAAGGCAGTTCATAGACAAAATAATGCATTTTACATTCAGATATTTCCTCTCAAAAGCAAAGGAATCTTAGAAGAAAAAAAAAATCAGTAGTGAAGGCCACATACTTTTTTGCATTTGATGAGCTGAAATGCAAAAAACAATTAAAGCATCTTGTAAGAGGAAAAAAAAAAAACCAAACCAAACACAGAACTTCTGGAAAGTGATGATTTAGTTGATGGGGTGGTCAGCATAGAACCTGTTGGGAATGCTACAGCAGAACTGACCCCAAGTACAAGGGAATATGAACAGGAACATAGTACAGGCATCAACTAGAAAACTGTAACTTGTCAACTTGTAAACCAGAAAAAGCATTTCACAGATTAAAAGTTCTAGGGAAGTAAACTTCTTTAAATTATTTTGTCAGTTCAACCCTGATTTAAAAAAGTATGGCTAGCAAAAATACATAAGCCTCAGCATATTTATAAGTCTTGATCAGAGCAGCCATGAGCCTTTGATAAACGGCTGGAAACAAACACCCTTCTACTAAGGATGAAAGAAAAATATTCCATTCTCTTCTTTCTCTCATTCCCCAATCCACATGTGTATACGTAGAATTCACATGCTCCAAGAATATCTTGACGCTGCTATAGATTGAGACGTGGGGAGACTGGTGGAGGAAAACAGACAAACTCTCTTAGAATACTACGGGCCACATCAACATTATTCTGGGCAATTTCAAGTGCCCTCTTGACTTCTTCAAAGGAATAGCCCTCTCCCATAAGTTTTGCAATTTTTGCATCCACGTTTTCTGTAGAACTGTCAGAGCTGTACGCTTTCCTGTGGTGTATTTCTGGTGCAGTCCTCCGAGGAAGTGGTTTAGGGGGCCTGGCTGGTGCTTGTGAACCATCTGTTTGAAATAAAGGAGACAGAAATGATTGTAAATTGGTCAAGTCTCATGAAGCAGTTCAAAAAGTAAAATTCTAAAGAAACACGAAGAGGTATTTTAATTCACTAATATATCTCATTTTAAAATTCAGACAGAAGCTGAATTCCTCTAGAACATCCAAATGGAAAAAATGCAGTGAAATACTATTTTAATAATATGATAGGAACATGCCAGTTACAATCTGAATTATCCAAAGTAGGAATAAAAAGAAAGTATGATGAAAAAGCAAAGATGGTGAAAATAGCCAGTCAAAATTTAAAAGGCTCTCCAGTATCAACCCACAGTTTGAGAACTTTTTATTTGGTTTAAAAAAAAAAAAATTATCACAGTTTTATTCAGGACCATACGTTGTGCAGAAGAGGAATCCAGCCAAACATGCCTGAGGGAGAAAAATTCTTCACTTATTGGTACATCTTGCAGATTCTGTTCAGTCAACGGCAATTCATTTCATGCACAGCAGCTATGCATAAATACAGAAATAACCGGTTTCTCAGAAAAACCCTCTAGTCTAATTATTTTCAGTGGTGAGAACAGAACACGATCCTTCCTCTCCAGTCCCCCTTCGGAAATATCTCCCCTTTGCTTCTCTTCTATGGAAAGGTTACTTCACAGTTAACGCTGGTGCTAAGAATCATGATGTGCTGATGAAAAAAGCTAATATTCAAACTTGCTAATCTTCTCAGAGTCAAGAGTTTCGTGCTCAAGTAAACTTGGTACTTTACTGAACCCTTTTTATTCTCACTGATTCCACAATAAGAAGCTTAAATGCAATCAGGCAGAGAGCAGGAAACATTTCCAAGAGCAAAGTCTTTTTTTTTTTTTTTTTTTTTAAAGTCTTTAATCCTTCAGAAAGGGTTCTAAAAAGTTCTATCAACAGTGACTTTGATAGATAAATTAGAGGAACTTCTGTCTGTGATACCTCCTGTTTGCTTACACCAATAGCAACAGCATTTTGCAGCGTTAAGCACTTCAGAGGCAGTTTTTTAGTGATGAAATAATGTTGTATTTCTAGTAGTACTGTTACCACATGCTACCTGATCGTAACACTGGGTAGAGAGAACTGTAACTCAGCTGAGTGCATTGAACACTTCAGATGAATGAAAATAGTTCACATAAGTGAAAGTCCGATGTTCACTTTTCAATATACATTCAACGTTATGTTTTTCTCTCAACTTAGTTTCCATGCATTCAGATGAGAGTGTTGCTATAAATTTTAATTCCATTTCTTAATTCAAATAAAATAAGCAAATTATACTTTTAGCAAGACGGTGATATTCGTATAACAAGTGGGTAAGAGGAATTTGATTAAAAATTTACAGTAAGGGGCTAAGATTAATTTTGTTCTAATTTCATTGCCTATTTTCCTTGCAAATAGTTATGACACAATGTACAGATTGTAAGGGCTATTTCATATTTGTTATGATTTTTTTTCCTCTCTGAAGATGAAAAGAACTATATAAATGCTACAACATTCTAGCAAACACACCTTAAGCAGATGTAAATCTGCTATTAACGTGTGGAAGAGCCATGAAACACACTTCTAGAAATTAACTATAGCTCAGGAAATGTGGTTCATAGCTAAAAAAAAAAATCAGAAACAAGTCCAAATTTCTTATTTAACTTATTTTAAAGAACTCAAGATTGTAACAGAAGAATATGCTTTATATTTAAAATAATGGTATAACGTGTTAAAAACGATCAGTTTTCTTTCATAAACATTCCAAAGTGCATATTTAGTTATGGACTTAATCTCAATAGAGGATGAAACAAAACTAATTTGTAAACTTTACATTTTCCTCTGGGCTTGAAATACAGAAGAAATTCCTTAGGCACAGATCTGATCCTTCTGTGTGCGTGTTACCTGAGATATTTTTTTCTCTACTCAGTCAAATACAGGCTAAAAAACTGAAGTTATTCCTTGTATAAAACCTTCACTTTGCTGAAGCTTCCAAACAAACTTTCTTAAGCAATCACATCATTTAGAAAGGTCATTTTTAATTCTGTCAGCAGATTTGCAGCATAGGCATTTCATTCACAGTGACATCTCTCTATAGCACAGATACTTTAAGATCGTCATCCCTCTCTCTCTAACTCAATTCCCATTATTATTTTTTTAAGCACTGACATCTCTTTCAATATCTTCACATCCACATGAAATTTTAGCTCAAGCTGGGTATCACATTGGATCCTGAGCTTAAAGATGCTAAGCCTAAGCTGCACGTCCATCTGGACACCGAGATAGAGGTATTTAAGCAGGACTTTCCTTCCCAACCTCCCAGCCTCTCTGATGTTTCAGCCACCATGGATGCCTAACTGAAACTTCAAATAGACTTTCTAATTGTGTAATTCAATTAATAGCTGCTACAGCAAGGAGCTTCCTCCATCCCTCACGTTTCTGTAATTCAGCACTAGATTTAACCCTTCGGCAACGGGTTAGTATACAGGCAGAGACGGGCTCATTTATTGTTTCAAAAGCATGAAAAAGTTCTAAGGCAAGAGCTCTGTAGCACAGTGGGAGGAGGATATTTGTAACGATGCCAACTGTCCATTCCTCTCTGCTGTGAAACGGCTCTTCTCTTTTCTTTCCTCGCTGCTTCTGTATATTCCATGGTCTTCCACTGACAGACTGAGGAGCATCGGAGAACCAGGTGACGAAGACCTGTTGTGCAAGGCCCTCCGTGGAGCAGAGGCAAGAAGCCACATCTAATCTAACCCGGGTACGGGAACAAAGCGTACCCAGGAGACATCTTTATGAAGGAACTGACAGAGCACGAAGAAAGTGAGAAAGGAGTAGCTGCACGGATTGGTCCATCAAGATCTTAGATATGATCTTTGTATCTTGCACTACTGCAGCAGATTAGTCCCCTCAGGGTTAATTGAAATCCACCCTAAAATAGTATGTGGCACCCTCTCCCCAGCATTTTCCTGTAAAGGAATTTAAATTTGCATGCAAGAGCTTTAATAAGGCCAGGTGAGCGAATAGATAGCAGAAAAATATACTTAACCAGCCATTTGAATTAATTTCTTACAGAATAGCTAAATTCAGTAAAATATACCAGGCACCTATATTAGAGGCCTAATTTTCTTCTACCTTTCTCAGGTATCATTGGCAAAATACGTTAACTATTAGCAATATTGCCTTCTCTTGCTTTTATTGTAATAATTTTAAACAGTTGTATGTAAGAAGTTCGGCAAACTATGCCTTTGGGATAGTTAGATGCATAGTTGAGAACTATTCCTTAAGTGTTCAATACTGAATACATGGATGAATTAGAATAAATTTATCATTACATGTTAAAGATTCAGTTAAATATCATGACAGCAATCTTAAAAACAGTCAGACCAAAGCACAGAAAGTTAAAGGACTCCCCATGCTACTCTAGGGAGCCAGTGGCTAAATTGTAATTAGATTTTAGAGTGAACTACCTTTCCTTTCCAGCTAGTTCAAAGAACCACCATACAAAAGGGCTGAAATGAAGAATTTCCTAAGTGAACTGATTAGTTCAGAATAAATGCAAAAAAAAAAAAAGAGTTCTGAACAGAACTACATCTCTACATTGTCTTTTTAAATCATAGATGAAGGTGAATCAGTTCATCCTGAAGCTCATCAGTTCTGTTCTATGGAATAGCTGCCACTGTAAAAACAACTTTCCAAGTAACAGTATGACATGAGCTCTCACATAGTTTTCATTTAATTGAAATTAAATTGATTATCATGCTGATTTAGAATGATATTTATAGCAATGGTCCACACATGTGGGTGCTTTAAAAGATGGCTCAGGGAAACATACAGATAGAAGAGTATTTACTGACATCAGAAAGCTCTAAGATGTTATGTAGCAAACATCTTGCAGTAATTTAGGAAAACTAAAAATTGTTCTAACACAGAATTGCACAAAAACTCTGTAGCTTTAAAAGGTAGTTATTTCATTGTCATAATTTGTATTATAAAAGAATTCTAAATGACCTAATTAAATCAAGTTAATATTGTAAGTCAAATAGATCCCACAGTGTCACAGATAAAACATGCATTATAAAACAATGGCCTTTCCTAACAATGGGGGGGAAAAAAAAGGCAGAAACACTGTTATATTAGTAGAGGTATCCCCCCAAAAGTGCTACTATTTACCAAAGGCATCACACTCATTCTCAAACGTGCTATTCATGAAAAATTCTGTAGCACTCTTCAGGATTACTTAATTTTCCCTGTACTTTAAGTCGGAAAAATATATTCTTTCATTCTTATACCACAGTAGAGATGGACTATGTATCCCTAAGAAGGAGAGATATAATTAAAATTTTAAAAAGGTATCATTTTTCCACTTGTGATTGTTGCAATGAAGCGCTGATGATCATTACAATTGAAAGACTAGAGAAGTAAGTCCCTTCATTTCTTTATGCATTGGAAAAGAGTTTTCATACACAATTCACTCTTATCTGGAGAATGCATAATGCTTCAAATCATCACTTGGCTATTTCTTTGTGTGGTCTCCCCACACAGCAAAATAGATACAGGTGAGACAATCCTCCTCCTTCCTCATACACCATGCACATCTAAAGAAAAAAAAATTGTCTACGAATTGGTGAAAATACTTTGAAATACAGGTAATACTTTATATTTTATATTTATTTTAATTAATCTGAGTAGCTTTACTTTAAATACTATTCATATTGCCTGAAAATCATAAGCAAATTTCTATAGCAAAGGAATTGCTTCTACTGGACCTGTGCTGTTGCAAATAGAACACCGAATTTTAATTTGGTTTGGTTCTTGTTTTCTTACTAAAAAATATTTTTAAATTTTCTTAGAACTTCAGGCAAACATTAAAAAAAAAAAAAAATCGGAAAATAATATTTTAGAGAGTGAAGCTATGTGTTTTTTTTTTTTTCAGGAGCAATGAAACAAAGATGGAAGTGATATGTGTGTCGTCCCTGAAGAACTTCTGATCTCTTGTCAGCTTTAAAGGTGGCAGAAAAATCTCTGCCCTTCTCAAAAAGTAAGGAACACTAAAATTCACATAAACATTCAGTTTGGCAGCTGGTGAAACTGATGCTGTAATATCTACACCTACAGACAACAGGTAGCCACTTCTACCTTTATTGCTGAACTTCAATCTCTATTATCCTCCGACGATTTTGTATTTTTGTAAAGCAGTATTACCATTGCCATTTGCTGCCCGGAATGACAAAAACCTTATTGGAATTTACAGATGAAAACCATTTTAAAGTTGTAATTTTCTATAAAAACAGTTTTCTACCTTACCTGTAGAGGGAGGAAGTTGATCATAGTCTTGAGATGTCCTGTTTGTTTTGACGTTTTCTCCAGTTACTCTACGAGCAGGTGGCAAAGGAACATGACCAGTTATGGGATCAAAATGGGGATCTGTAATAACAGAACAAAAAAGGTGTCTTAGAATAATCAGAATAATTATTTGGGGGAGGAGGGCTGATGCATAGAACCTAAGCTTAAAACAGCCTCCCTTCAGACTGAGGAGCCATGAATCCAAACAGAGGTGTTCCCCCATAGCACTTGCATACGCCTCAATACATCCAAATACCACACTTGCATAGCAGACCCGTAACCATGTCTTGAAGTGACAAAAACAAGAGCACAGCTCCAAGGTGGTCTGTCCTGCACTGACCGTGGCTCTTCTGTTTACATCCATGAGGTACCTTTCAATTACCCAATCCTGACACTGCTAGGATTGTGGCTGGCAAAACATGGAAGAGGTTGCAAAGCCCGAAGCAGCACAATTAGAAATATCCCAGCTATTCAGTTTGGTTAGAGCTTGGTAACATTTCTACACTTTGCAGTTCACAACGACCGCAGGGCAGATTTCACACAGTCCCAGCTACGAGTAAACACTACAGGGGCTGGTAAAGGCTGTGACTATGCTTTTCAGTTCTCTCTGCATATTACAGGAACAGAATGTAAAAAATAAGAAAAATATATAGTCCTGGCATACTGTGTCCTCCTTTTTTTTTTTTTTTTTTCCAGGCTATTGGGGATGCCACTAAGCAAGTGTTAACATCGTCCTGGACCTGGCTTCTGCTCTGGACTCATAAAAGTGTTTGCATTTGAGTGCAGCTTTTTGCTGTTGTTGATGATGAGATTATTTTTCTAATCCGACAGGCTCTGATAGATATCTGAGAAATCACCCCCAAGACTTGTACAGAAACCAATCATCAAAAACTCATCATAAATCATCTACAGCAGTTTATTTGACAAGATGCAAAGTGAGTAATATGGCTTTAGAAATACCATATGAATAAAAAAAGACCAATTTATACAACCATGCATGCCTAAGTAGATATATACCCTTTTAAGATTAATGAAAACCGCTGCTATAAGATTGTATTCACTATGCAAATATGAAGGACAATACATGGCTGTAGATACATTTTCCAGACTTGTAAGTAAAAGCTATTAAAGTTTTTTTAACGCTATCAGCGATGTTTCTTAGATTATTTGGAAACAACAATAACTTAAAACTCTGCACGTTTCTGGGACCTGCACACAGATGGACGGAGCTTGTGTGCACCTGTGTGTGAGGGATTCTATTTTTCCTTTCTATTCCCATTAGAACTGAATGGTGCAGCGTGCGTTTCTGCATCAGATGATACAACTGAGGCACCCATTCAGACCAGACTGAATAATAAAAGGTCATTCCAGTTCAACCTAAACTAGCTGGCTTTCATCCCACAACTAGTATCATAGAATCATAGAATCATAGAATCATTAGGGCTGGAAGGGACCTTCAAAGGTCATCTAGTCCAACCCCCCTGCAAGGAACAGGGATATCTCCAACTAGATCAGGTTGCTCAGGGCCTCGTCCAACCTGGCCTTGAACGTCTCCAGGGATGGAGCATCCACCACCTCTCTGGGCAACCTGTTCCAGTGTTCTACAACTCTCATGGTAAAAAATTTTTTCCTAATATCCAATCTGAATCTACTTCCCTCTATTTTAAAACCATTACCCCTTGTCCTATCACAACAGGCCCTCCTGAACAGCCTCTCCCCATCTTTCTTGTAGGCCCCCTTGAGGTACTGGAAGACCGCTATAAGGTCACCCCGGAGCCTCGTCTTCTCCAGGTTGAACAGCCCCAACTCTTTCAGCCTGTGAGGACCTCATCCGGAGAGGTCAGCCAAAGGCCCAACAACCTGTCAGGCTATTATGGAGTTGCACATGACTGCTTGTCATCCTCGTTCTGGTGTTCATGTGAAACTATCGTCAAAACGTTTCATTCATCCCTCTCCATACACCTTCCAAGAAAAACAGATCGGAGGAGGAAGACATCTAACTGCACCACCAGGTAGATAATCACTAAAAATATTCCTGGGACAGGTAAACTTAAGACACCAACATCCTTTGTAAGGTTTCACAGAGGGAAAAAAGTCACTTCACAGGTATGCACTATCACCCGCAAAATCCTGTTGTAACCTGTACCATCAGCAGCAAATGTATTCAACTTAATTAACCCGACAATTGACCACTCAAAGGCAAAATTCGTGAACTGTGAACGTAGCTTTTATACTTTTTACAACCAAATTATCGGATGGAAAGAGTGTCACAGTGGTTCATGGGGAGAGAGGGGTGAAAAATTGACTTATCAAAAAGGTTATGAACCACAGGCACCTGCAACTGTGTTCACAATTAAGACAGTTTTGCGGCAAAATTTTACAACAGTTCTAATAAAGCAGGATGTTCTTTTCCCTTATTTTCTAGCTTTTTCCCCAAGTTCCAACTTGAAAGTAAACCTCATAAATTATGTTTTACTATAGAAAACAATGGAGTTGACAAAAGGATACAAACTAGTACTACAGATTACAACACAAAATTTGGCACTTCACAAGTAACAACTCCTACTAGAAAAGTACAATTTACCAAAACATCTAGTCTGGTATGGAAATATCAATCTTATTTCATTACTTTGTTATAATTAAAAGTTAAGTCTTTTTATATTCTGAGTTGTTTCATCTCCACCATTAAAAAAACCCTATTTTTAAATATTTTGTATAATGAAGTATAGACAAAACAGACTTCTGAAGCCTGATGAGAACAGATAAGCTTCTAAAGTAAAGTAAAATTAAATAAAATTTGTTCTTTCCTTTGTATTCCTACCAGAATGAAGGAACAGTTCATGTCCTGAAGGAGGTCGGCTTCCTGAGCCAGTAGGCTTGGTGTGCTCAATCATGCTGTGCCGAGCAGGTGGTGGTGGTGGTGGTAGCGAAGGGGGTGAGCTATCAAACGCCTCTTCACCTGCATTTTAGAAAAGAATTAGATGAGTAAGACTTTATTAAGAACTGTAGAATAAAGAGTGACGCTTCAAATTTATTTTTCTCTGGCTGCTGAGGCCATTACTTCTCAGGTTCATTGAGCAGTTCAGCGACTTCAGTAATGAAATTGTAAACCTGACTCTTACTATGCACAATCCTCTTCCAAAACTGACCTTTCACAGTGCTCCATTTCTTTCTGGGATGAGGGGAGAGATTTCTTTTAGCAGCTCAATGCAAAGAGTGAATATAATTGCAGAATAACAACTATGTTTCAGTGGCTAAGCAAAAATATTTATATTCAAACAGCAATGCTGACTACATTGCATCTGCTAAGTTCATACCATGTATTATCTCTACCCTGCTGTTTCTAAAGCTCTGACCTCAGATATAAACTGAATTTTCCAGGGCTTGGCAAAAGAATGTACCCCTTACACAAAGGTGGCGCAGACAGGACTACAGTTACCAAGCAGTGTGATTTTTATGTGTTCTTCTGCCTTCGATTCTATGTATTCTCACAACTTAGGAACACTTCAGTGACCAGAGATAGCATAGTGCAGGAACACAGAAAACGCCCAAAAGGTTTTATAGAACCAGAAAATGGGACAACAACACCCACACTACAGTTTAATAATCATGCGACTGTCAATGAAGGTGTGGGTGGTGGTCAAGCACAACCTCAGTGTATACGTGGAGCTCACTGACTTTTGTGTAGAAAAACGTAACAAAATCAGGGTTGGAAGAGACAGCTCTTGGTGACTGTAGGCAGTGATTAGTTTTGAACTGTCCCTTGATAGTGGAAAACCACCAGAAATAAACGTAGTAATTTAATTTACTTTTCTTTGACTTAAATACCATCCCTTTGGCATTCTTCTTTGTATTTGATAAAAGAAATGGAATTATTTAAGCTCCAATAGGAAAAACCCTCCACTCTTGCATTAAATTGCAATATTCAAAGTTCATATTAAGGGACAAAAAAATATAATTTATTTCAGTGAAAATGGTTTTGCTTTTCTTTATAGCTTGAATACAGATTTATTATGCCTTTTCATCTGTCTTGCATGAGGGCTTTCAGACAGATGCCAAGTATCGATGATTGACACAAATATTGACTTACAGCTGTAATATTTAGCCCATAGCTTGTTTGGTACTCTTAACACACTCAACATCGGTTGCTTTTTAATAAACATGGCATTTGGTTCAACTAGGCAATGTTAACCATTAAATGTAACCAGCAAAAAGTCTGCAACCTAAAGGGGGCACCAGAAGATCATAATCGGAGGGTGTCCTGTTGAGCAAAGAGCTGTGTTTTGGGTTGTCTCTGGTAGGAGGTCGTGCAGGTGGCAAAGGTACCGGAACAGTAGGTGCGTCACAGGCATCTCCTGAATGACACAATCACAAGAAGTGAATGTTTTCTTGCTGCACCCCTAGAACAGCAGAGAGTAAATTTTCTTGCTAAATAGTGAAAAATAAAAACATACCTAATTCTGGATGTTTCGATTTCTTCATCTCAGATGTAGTACTGTGTGTTCCATTCGTTACTCCAACACATTGACCATTCTCACACACCCTGAAGACAGACATTAAAAACAGGAAGCAATCAGCCAGTTCTCCAAATATTAATTCCCAGAATGACCAAGTACCTGAGCAGGTAGTCCGTTATATGGAAACAAATGAGAGAAGATAAGCTGCACCAATTTTAAACTTTATTTTTTTTTATATTGAGAGCAGATACTGGCTAACCATCAATAAAATTCCTTTGAAGGATTATACTTCTTTCTTGGTGAGATACTTACATGACTTAAACAACTTACTCAAGGTTGCAATACAAGACAGAGGGAGAACTAACACTAAACATAGTCCTCACTTCAGAGCTCAGGTCATTAGTTTATTGACACAGTTAAGTCACAGACTCAATCCTGTTTCACCTTCCCAGCTGTTGAATTTTCCCTAGCAGAAATATGATAAAGGAAAATGTGGATTTGGGTAATAATCTATGCTGAAGTATACAGAAAAGCCATTAAAATAAAACAAAACAACAACAAAAAAACTAAACACCACCACAACACACCACTAGCAATAACAAATCTCAACTAAACTCTTAGCCAAACACTAAAAATAACAAACAAAAATTGAACTAGCCAAAGCAGTTTTGCAGGTGCCTTTTCCTTTCTGCATCAAAAAGCTGAGTCTCACTGATATTTCTACCACAGTTTACTAATTTTTTAAAATGAAAACATATCACACCTCTAAACCAGAATCAAATTAAATATGAACATCATCTAAACCAAACAGTACAAAGTTGCCTATAATCTTTTCAGAAAAATAACGGAGATTACTTTTGTAAGATGACTCTGTTCGAATACTGCAGGGAATAACATAGAACAAAAGCCTTTTCATAATACTAAACACTGTTTAAATAAATGTGGAAAAACTGGGAAATTACTCCGGTCATTGAAACTATAGACCCTGCATATTCGGAAAGAACTGGAGAGTTTCTTTGGAAAAAAGCCACTGTACTAAACAATTCTAGCTTAAAAATAAAAACCCCAACTTACTATGCACCATTATTGTAAAATACTGGCAAATATGCTAGAGCTATATACAGCTAAAATTTCAGATCTTGGGTTTCTACCAATAGTATGGACATTAATAAACCTATCAGCTTTGGCCATATGGAAAGGGGGGATGAATAAAGGTCTGGAATCATTTAAAATATATTAACAGGAAAGAGGAAGCGAAATTCTGTTTGTGGTCCCAAGAGTTGTAACTCGGAGGGAGGAAATCAATCTAAGAATAATTACAAGACTTAAAAACCAAAACAAACAACAACAAAAAAAGTAAGAGCTATTTTGTTATGAGTTAATTTCCCCAGGGAAGTGAGAGAGGAAGTGTTGCTTCTGTCTCTGAAATTAGATTGGTTCAATCTCAAATGCAGTGGATGCAACACTTCCCTTTGACTTCTCAGCATGTACACTAAATAACCAAGAACGTTTTCTACTTTAATTTGAATATATTCTGCATTTTCAATAATCTAACCAGCCACAGGCACTAACATAACTTAACGTGGCACAATTTCAGAAGTCTTCAGGTCATAATGAAGCCAGTAAAGTGTTCAGTTTGCAAATAGTGCTGAAATACCTGTTTACATCAACAGTAAACACCAGCAAAAAAGGGCAGCAAATGAGTACCAACAAGCAAGCCTTCTGTCCTTATTCTTTTGGAAAAAGCTTTATTAGGAAAAGATAGTGAATGTAATAATGTATCATTCCTCTAATAGTAGCTCAATTAGTAAACGCTGAAATTCTTTCCCTCTATTTCTTATTGCTGATCTTGCCTCATATCTGGGAAAAGATGATCAGCTGTAACAAACCGGACAATTAACTAATCTGCCAGAAAATAAGACAGTGAATTTATATTTTTGTACTGTTCTTGCAATATTTTCAGCATTGCCATATCTACTGGTAAAAGAGCAAAAAGTCTTAGAGGCAATACAAATTTGGTGGTAAGATAGAAGAATGACATAGTTCATAAATTACAAAACATCCAGAAGAAATTTTGTAGGGTCTTTAGTTTACTGAAAATTCTAAGTACTATCCAAGAACTGAGGAAGCAACACATAGGGAAGCAATAAGAGAAGGTGATACAAGGGGACAGAACTGAAAGTTGCTAACGATTTATGACAACTAAAAAAAAAAAAATTGTTAAACAATACTGAAAAATTAAGCTTTTATTGACACCCCCCTCCCTATGAGATTAAAAGAAGTGCATGAAAAGAATACAGCATCAACCAGAATCAAGATTTTTTTGAAAGCTTTATCTCAGCTTTCACATCTGAGCAGTGACATTAGCTAAAAGAAGACATTTTAAGTATATGGAACATCATATATATTCACGCACAAATACTCAACAGGATTTTATTTTTTTTTTAATGCTTAGAAGAATGGCTTGTTTAGAATTCAAATTCTTATCAGAATATATAATAAGAAGTGTCAGTAGTTTTAATCATAGAGCGATCTGAATAGCAAACTGAGTTATTTTCTCTGTAGCAAATTAATTCCAAAACATTCACCACAAGCACAAGACCAAGTATGCTAGCTAAAATATAAACTAAAAACTAGAAAAAACTTTGAAATCTTCTATCTACAGTCTTTATTAATAATTCTAATGGCCTGGTGAAATCCTATACCATCCAATTGAAGGCACTCAACTTTTTTTTCTGCAAAAGAAAGATACCGAAAAATAAGAAGTTTCCAGTTTTCCAGCTGGTTATTTTCTCAAGAATCTTTCAGGGTGCATCTAGACATTAGCATGTTAGTACAGGTCAGGAGTATAAATTGAAACAAATCTCCACAAGTCATCCCCCCACTTACAGCACTTTAGTTTGCATTCCAAAGAGGTCTCAGAGCATGCAAACTCAATTGCTTCTTGATGATGTTAACTCAGAAGACGTCCTGCAGAAGGTCATCCAATATGCTGCAATTACTAAAGGGTACTTCCCACCACAGGACCATGGTAGGCCTAGTCTGAATCCAAAAGTTCCCAAAACCTACAGTGTGGATGTGGGGTCCTTGGAGTCAATCGGTCCCCTCTACAGACCCACTCCTATTGTACTGCACTACTTACTAACCTAGACATGGCCTCAGAAGCTGCTAAACCAAGATAATCTGTCCACATGCTGCTCTCTTCTGTTGCAGATGACTTCTTGTCTAAGTTACATCCTGAGTAACTCTAGTCATGCAAGCAACTCAGCCTCTATTAGACGACTTTGCATGGTACAGAAAGACATTCCTATGCAGAAGCACAAGATACTCAGATAAATGGCATAGGTAAAAAGCATAAGGACCTTGGAATTTTTTTTTTTCTTCCCTTTTTTTTTGCTTGGCCAATATTAAGAGTTTTATTCATCATTGATTTTTTTTTTTTTTTTCTCATAGGGTAGATAGGAATTGAAGTACTCAAGACCATAAAGCTCATACAACTGTGTAATATTCACATCTACGCAGTGAAGGTTGGATCAGCATTTCTAATAAAGACAGAATTTTTAACCTGCATCAGGGAGTGATCAGACTATGACCTTTTTTCCACCTGTTCTAAATGTCTGATTAAAGAGGTCTAAAAACTATAATTGGCTCATTTTGGGACGAGATACACGTCAAGCTTTATTGATGGTGGGTCCCTGACATCACATTCTGACAGAAAGAGGAAAAAATGGCAATATGTCACTGCATTTTTTTAATAGCAGAAGAGTTTGAACTTTTTAGATCAATGCTCGATTTTAGTATCATACTTCTGACCTACAAGACCAGTAGGGAAAAAGAAGGGCAAATTCTCAAGACTTATTCTCTTAATTCCAGACATTCAGATTTCTTTTTATGAGTCAAAGACCAAGAAGTTCACCAGGAATGACACAGCCTTCAGTTGCCATGTCCCTTGGCTCCAAATCTCCTTTCCATAATCAATTAATAATTCAGAACTGTGACAGTTTGGAGATATTATTTTAGAACATGTTTGAAGTAAAAGCGATATATTCCATCTGAATTTTAAAAAGGTTCTCTTCCTGAGAAGCACAAAGAAAATATATTGTGAAACAGCCCCAAAAAGCCAAAAAGACAGTACACATGAGACAAAAAGAGAATAAAAGTATGTACATACAGCTGCCAATTCAAGTATTTTTCAGTAGTGTGCTGCTTCTTAAAACGAATTATATGAAATGTGAAAATAAGGTTTTTCTAAGCTGACTTTGGGAATTTCAGTCTCACAATTCTCCTGAAAAGTAAATTTGCAAGAGTTATAGGGGTTGAATCTCCTGGTCAGTTCTGAAAATCTCAATCCAAGGGAAAAAAGGATCAACTGCAGAAATGGTATTCAAAAGCAAAAAAACCCCAATTCTGACGCAACAGAGAGACAATAAAGTGAACTTCACAGGTTTATGACTGTGGTGGTGGTAAAATGAAAGAGAGGCATAAGTAATCCAAGCTTGAAAAGACAGGACATTTTAGAAGGTAGGCAAGCTTAATCATCATTATAAATGTTAAATCCAGTTAAATATTGGGAGTAGTAGAGTTTTTGTAAATAAGTTGCCTTCAAGGTTGCTAAAGGACCTTACCGAGCAAGAGGTTTTATATTATGACTATGAGGTGATTGTGAGCTCAGTATTACAGCATGTGAAGAAGGAACTTTGTATTCATCATCATCATCTGTGTGATCTCTTGATTTATCAGACAGAGGATTTGCTGAAGGAACAGGGCACCTAAGGAGATGAGAAAAAGACCAGTTTTGCTTTAACTGTTAGATAATTGACCTCAGTATAATACAGAAAATACTCTTCCTCAGCCTAATCATGCTTAATACACGTCTGCTGCATATAAGGTAACAAAAACACCATGTCAAACTAAAACTTGTAAGGTTACTGGCTTTTTTGTCACCAAGAATGCATAAAGTAAATGGCAGCTGACCTCAGAATTAAACAGCTACGTTAAGCAAGCACAGCATAAGAGAGAATTGCAAAGAATCAGAATAATAAATAGACACTTACAAGGCTTAACCTGTTTGTGCTTGTTGGAAGAACTAAACAAAAGTTAATTCAGTGGATACAGTATTGAGCAGGGCTCAGTGAGGCACCGCAGTGGACCATGCACCTTTTCAGGGAAGTCTTGTTCTAGCCATAACATTACTGAACTCCCAGAATTTGCCTGTATTTCAAATTATTTTTACTTCAAACGATAATTGTCTAACTGTCCTCCCAGACTGTGATTTATATCACTTCTTGAAAGCAGTGGAAGCCCAGCAAAGACGTAGACTTTACAATCTTCGTTTACACGTAACAAGTTCCATTGTGGAGAATACTGCTGGATACGAGATTTCTTTTAAAATAAAAAACATACTCCCACCATCTGGTTTTCTGTTATACAAGTGTAAACAAAACGATGGGCAAAATTTTCACTTGAGTGAGCAGTCTGGGGAAAGTAATTTTGTTAGATATTAACAAGCTCAACATATCTTTTAGCCTTCATAAAATATAACTAACTAGCTAGGTATAAGTCTAGCAATCGTCTATTTTTTATACATAGAACCCCTCTGTTTATAGTAATTACTTTAATACATTAAGATAAATAAGAAACTCACAAAACAGCTGGAATACAAAAGCTTACATTAAGGACTTAATTTAACTTCAGCTTGATCATACATGAAAACCACAAACAGAAGTCTGATTCTTAAACCAGCTGAACAAGAAGAGAAATAAGTGTATAATTTCAAAAATCATCTGGATATTACATTATGGTGTGAATAGCACCTTTATTCTTTGCCACAAAAAAGCCAACACCTGGAAGACCTTGAATAAAGATGTGCAATGCATCCACAGACATTTTGATTTGTGGCTTGGAAGGATGGCTAATGGCCCCTGAGCTGAACTACATGCTACATTTACAAGATGCTACTTCATACATCATTTCGGGAAGTTCATAAGGACTAAAAGGAAACATGAGAAGAGGACTTCTCTTCCTGTGGTCTAATTAGTTTGATTTTATCGTAAGGGCAAGAGCCAAAATGACAGGCCAGGCCTATCTCCTCATTTTTTTCAACACAAGCAGCACCTGACTCACACAGTGCACTTCTTCATAAAGGAAAAAAAAAAAAGTGTCTTTCACTATTTACTGTAGATGATGTCGTATGACTTAAGAACATCCAGGTACTCGTGAATAAAAGCAACTAACAAACTACCACGAGTACTAGCCAGTCACTAAAGGAAAACATAAATGGAGAAAGAAAAAGAACAGAGAAAGAAGGGGGCAGATGTGCTGCTTTGGTTTGAATATATTCAAAGTCTAGAGCTCCCTCAATACTTTTAAGTCTTCATACCCTCTTTCCTTCATTCAGTAACATACTTTTGGCTTCAGAAAACAGCTCATGAAAGATAGGAATCCAACTTCTTCTGCAAAGGCATACTAGGCAAAGACAGGGGGAAAGAAGATTTATGGCACTGAACTGTAAACTCTATACTGCAGTTTTCAACCATCTTCTGTAGAGTAAGTAAAATTTCACACAGCAATGCAGTCTGGAATTGCTTTTCTTAGATGGCCAAGAAGTTTGTGTCGCTGTTGTATGACCATTTCAAGAATAGAAGGTAAAAATGTACCAGGACAATGAGAACTCTGTGGCATTCTCAGGCAGATGGTTGCTAGGCTCACAAAGAATAAATTTTCATGTTTCTGTGGATGTGCAATCATTCTTACATGGCAATTCAGCATGTTCTGGAGATATTTATTTATATATAAGTATATATAAACCTGTGGTTTTCGAGAATAATCACAAACTGAATTGCTGATTTCTGCAGACAGCAACATTGGAAATATTCATATCTAGACCAGAAACGTCCAATACTGACTAATACAGAATGTCCAATACAGATCAAACCAGGTTGGTAGCATTGTATGAAGCCCTCTTCAAAGGCTATTACTGAGAAAAAACAACTAAAAATCCTCTTCTCTGAAGGCTTTGTCTGAAGGTGGTTATAGGAGAGATTTTGATTCCTGGAACACTGTGAATTAAGTTTTTTTTTTTTTAAAGGAAATCTACGGAGTAAAACCAAGAGCCTAATCATCACCTGAACTAAGTGCAGCATTACAACAGCTAGTCTTACCAACTTCCTGGCAAAAACAGTCCTCAGACAGGAAAGCTGGAGGATTTACTTACTGACAATTCACAAACTAAATAAATTTGGTATACTCAAGGAATACAAAAAAAAGCTTTTTCCCATCATCTAGTTCATGCCCCTGCTTTTTTTTCTTACTTATTCAGTAGACAAAAGAACCTAACTTATGTTATAAACAAAGCTACACCTTTATTCACAGGACACCAGTGTGTACACATATGCCAAAAATCAATTTCCTGACATCATGGCACTGCTGAGAACTTGTTACTGGTTTAAAGCTATTATTAAAGACCTAAGTTCTAAGTCTCCTGCTTCTGAATACTGTGTAGCTTTAGACAAGTCATTCACACTAGTAAAGTCTCTCTTTCTCTACCTTTAAAGTAAGGAAAATATTTGTCAGTTGCAAATATTATTATGTGATTAATATTTGAAAGGAGCTTTTGATCTGTAAAGCAGAAGAGTTAGAGTACTAACATATAGCTAATATACTCTCCATTAGGGTCCTAAAATTGTCCTATACTTACATTATATTTTATTAATATTTCAGATTTTTTATTTTTAAAAAAATTGTACCACTCTTCCAATTTACTCCAGTTGTAATGGTATTTGACTCCAAACACTTTTTGCATTGTTCTGTTAGATGTCTACCTCATTTTCTCCATGACTATTGACATTTCTTCAAGCTCAAATTGTTTTATTAAATCTCTATTGTTCTAAGACTAACTCTACTGTTCTACACAAAACCAGCTAGTAAGATAAACAAACAAATATGTTACAGTTTTTTGTAACTGAACAGAAGAACTTTGTCATTATAAGTGAAGACATGAAACACTTAGCTATCTGTTTATCAAGCTGGTGAAATTTTCTATAATTACACTTTACAGAACTTCATTACTTTTACATCTTTAGAAGATTTGTTCACAAAGGAATACAAAACTGACCAGCACACTGTATTCATGTATTCTCTAGTTCCCCTTCCTACTCCTTAAGTGGAAATATTTTAAATTTTAAGTCAGAATTACATTATGGTAAATGATGACTTTATACTTTCTGGTTTGTTGAACAGAAGACTAGATGTCAATCTCTTATCCTACTGAGCGCCAAGGGCCAAAGGCAGAAGGAAAAGATGTGAGAATTCATTTTTGTTGAGTCACTTAATGTCCAGCTTAGTTGCAAATAGAACTCCAGCAAAACCAACATCTCACACTTATTTAGAAGCACTTCAAGGCAAGGTTCGCCCCTTCCATCATTTACTGGTAAACAGATACACAGAACTTAGACACGACGAACTTGCAGTCCATGTATTTCAGTCTGGATTAGGACTGTGCTTTTGAAATGAATCCCTTTAATCTCCCCATTTACCATGCTTTGATCTGCACTGGAGGAGTGCGCAACTTGAATACTTTTCAGATTAAACTAAAATACATGATACAATCCAAGTGTGCCCCTACTATGTTCCAATTGCTAAAGACTATACACATCCTTGGGACAAGACTACGGCTAGTTGAACTGCTGCCCCATAACACGTACAGCACAGACATCAGGTCCCTACTATAAACTCTTCCATCCTATGCAGAGTACTACTTGCTAGCACAGACAAAAGCTTTAAACTTGTAAGGCCTCAAGCAAATTCTGTCTCAGCAAAATAAGTGTTAAGCTATACGGACCACATTTCAAGTCAACACTTGTCAACTGCCCTTGAGTAAGCTCTGCTTAAAACCAAAGCATATACAAAGCAGTTCACCTTCTGCCATAAAGGAGGACACAATTTTCTGTTGGTCACAGGGTGAGCCTGGTACCACAGAACAGCTGAAGCATCCAAACTCACTGGCCTGTCGAGCCATGAGCTAAGGGCACATTGTGTCCTCCAGACATTCAACTCTCACATGTCTAGAACCTGCACGTCAGCAGTGCCGCTTCTAACGCTGCTGGAGGAGCGCCATGCCAAAGGCTGATTTCAAGGGAACCAGGATCTCTAAGCCACAACTGCCTTTAATGGAACTATGATTTCACCTTCGGTTTCTTAGAAAGACAGAAGGCATAGCAAGAGGAGAAATACCTTTCGGTGCTAGTTTTTCCTCAATTACTTCAAAACGACTAGATATTCCCGACACAGTTTTAGAATACAAAAGATACCGGAGATTGGCTGTCTCGTTGCATACTCAAAAGTAGACACTCTCTCACAGACAACACCACAGTGGTATAAAGCACTTTCGAGACAAAGAAGCCAATTTTCTATTGATGTAGCAAAATGAGACCTACTCACAGGAATAAAATAAACACTATTTAACTTGAAAATTTCTAAGCTTGGGGGAAGAACGGTTCTGTACATTCGACATAAAAGTTTCATTTATTTTTTCAATAATAAAACAGTGATTTGATCAAAGCTGCTAAAAATAATCTGCCATAATTACAGCAGTACAATAAAAGAATAACTGTTTTAACATGTAGGGTCAGCAACATAGTGGCTGAGTGGAAAATAAAAATCAGATGCTTGGTTAACATGAGTCCAACAATTCATTATTGAAGTATGGTTAAAAATAACAACTTTAGTAAAATGAAAATAAACCAGTTTCCAGAAAAAAGACACTAGTGCTTTTTTTATTAATGTAATTTCACAAAGAAAAAAAAAGTCATATTTGTAATGTCTTATTCAGTAAAAACTGATCAAACAAGTTAAGCAGGGATATTGTAGAATTGTGAAGTTTCAACTAAGGGTCATTTTGCCTCCTCATTATTTAGACTGACATTTCATTCATGGTCAATGCATCCTTCAGTCAAACCTTAGAAATTACAGACTTATGATCATAACTAGAAAAAATAAAATGCCTTGCAGCTGTATGAAACAAGCTAGCTCTCAAGCCACAACTCTGCAGAGATCGGAAAGTAGACAAGTATGAGAAACTTGCGCCAGATCAATTGCAGCAGCACAGCTGTGGAAAACAAAAGAATTTTAGATCAAGTACAGTTCAGCATATTTATGAGGGCTTAGTGTAGTCAATTTAACAGGAGGAAAAATACGCTGCAAAAATACTCTCACCAACATTTCAAATTAAATCATGCTAAATATTATTTAGGTTATTTTTTTGAAAGCAATTGCTTTGGTTGGTGAAAATATTAAACTTGCTATTTTTGAAGATTTTTGATGATTCTCCTCCTTAGTTTTTCCACCTACATGACAGATTATTGGGGTATTTTCTAGTGGCAACAGAAACTTAATTTGAAATCAATTTAAAATAGACATACTAGTCTTTCAAGAAGTAACATATAATGATCAATTTTTAATTTTAACAATAATTCCATGTGACATTTTAGTAGTTGTTAAATAGGTAATTCAAATTTCTTACACCTAGGTTATAAATTGATATTTTTACATTTTAGAAATCAAAATGTAAAATGTGCTGTAGATTTTTAAAAGGTTTAACTACACAACCAAATCAGAAATAAAAGTTAATTTCTTCCAAAAAGCTTATGGAGTTTGGCTTTAGCAAATGACAATTTTCTTTTGGTTGGAATACGTCACTTTTCTATCCAGCAGACTTCAGTTAATGAAAGTATTTCTTTTGACCAAGCTAAATTCACACATTCCAGTTTTGGATTGCCTTGACATAGCTCGTCCACATCACTATGATATCTTGTGGAATTTCCAATGAACACTGTATGGTGTATGTATATATTGTACTTTGATTCTAGGCAACATTTGCAAAAATCTGAGTAAAAAATGGAATTTTCATGAAGTAGAATGTTCTCTTATTTCAACACTATGAAAAATAAAAGTAAGAATCTTCCCCTCTTCAGAATTCAATTTGCTTTAGAATATGGAAGTATTTAGTTTGTCTATTAGAGTTACTGCTTTCTCTTTCTGACTGACAGGGTGTGGAACATCCCAGGGGTTGCATCCTATCATGGAAGGAGTAGCCAATCCAAGGAGATCAGTCTACAGAGAGGTCTGATTACATGAGGTATCCAAATGGCACTCCTAATACCCTACCTCAACCAGGTTACATCACAACACTCAGTTACAAAACTGTCCGGGTAGTGTTCTAAAATTCGCTTCTGAACTGAATGCAAACATGGAGAGCTTCAACCCAGCAATTATTGCATCTGAACCCATGCTTCTGAATGAAAAAGTCAATGCTCCACTGAACTTTTATTCTAGTGCTTCGGAAGAGAAAACCCAGCGTATTAATGAAATGCTGAAATATATTTGTCTTTTATGTTACCGCTAACTGAACAGCAATGGAATGAGTGCTGAAGACACGGCAAAATTACACACTAATGAGAAAATTCTCAGTACTGACTGTCCAATTATTATATTTAACAGCAAGAATCACAAGGAGTACATTGAAAAGAAGCTGTAGGACAACATCAAACATTGCGATATGCTCCGATTTCCTTCCAAAACCACAAAAATTTGACAAACTACTTTATAGCACTTCCAAATTCTGTTTTAAATATTTCTTGTTCTGTAGAAAATCCTGTGTGATAAAGAGTCCAAAGATACTTGCTATGCACAGCAACATCTTGGTACCAAATAAATAGCCATGCTACTGGAAGACTAAGGGTAGTCTGCACCTTGAAACGACAAGATGTCCCAAACCATATTCTGGAACTCAGGGAGGTTGACTCCATTTAAAATGGATATAAAACGTTTTTATTTGTTTGGTTTTTAGGCACAACAAAAAAAAGATACTGGTGTGAATCCTGGATCGAGCTCTATGTACAGAAAGCCCAGAAAGCACGACTAGATTAGGGGCAGAACACGCATAAATTATGCTCTCTACCCTTCGTACTTTCCCTAGAATCTTTCCTCTCCTGCGATAAATAGGTCTGACCACACTTCTGTAGCTGTAGAAGCAAAACCAGACAGTGTTTACTCTCACTGCCAAATGCCCGTGAGCACGATCTGCCACAATTTATTTTCTCTTCCTATAAAAATGTAGTATGTTCAATTAACATTAGAACTGCTCCACTTAATCAATACAATTTACGCTTCCTTTGTAAAGCTGCATTAACATTCACGGAAAACGTATCACCAAGTTATATTAGTTCATTTTATTTATTTCTTTTTCCTGCTTTTCTTTTAGCGCCAGAGAATCAGTTTTATTATCTAACAGCACTTAGCACGTTTCTTTTACAAATAAAGATAACTTACTTTATACTAGGGATGATGGAGGCAGCTGGAAGAGGGGGTGAAAGCCGTGGAGGGACATCATACTCTTCATTTATCAGATGACCATTTGAAAAGACCTAAAAATCGCACAGGTGTTACAATGGGTCTCTCCTCCCATTTATCATCATCGATATTCATCAACTAGGTATTACAAAATGGACTATGAGAAGATTATGGGTAAAGGCTTTCCTAGGAGTTCACACTACAGAGCTGTTATCTGGAGTGACTCTTCCTTCCATACCTGCTTCAGCTCACCCCATTTGGAAGCTGCAGGACGCATTAGCTTAAAACTTCACCAGAAGACGAAGTTCCACATCACAGTTACTAGATGGACAACTCAGTTACAGCTGAAGTGATTACGGCAAAATTAAGATTTCAAGATTGCGATCTGATCAAAGTGAGAGAGATGCAGTACAGTGGGAAAACAATTGGTACAGCAAGCTAAACATTTAATGTTTTTTAAAACTCTGTGATTCAGTGCCTGCCAGAATCCACCCCCTACCTGCGTGACTGACTTCCTCATTCTTGGTTTTTACCAATAGCAAAGAGATTATATTACAATTGATATATGAATCAGGGATGAAAATTAAATGTTTCCCTTGTGAACGTGCATACAGCCTGAAACGATTATTCAGAGTTGTCAGTTGCTCCATTTAACAAAATGGCTTGGATCTACAACCTGAAGATGACAGTTTAAACGGCATTTGGTTCAGGATATACATCTGTAACTTCTCCAGACTACAATGGCACTTTGACACTGAGTGGTTATTCTGATTTGAGAATTATTTATTTCATCAGCTTCAATACTGCACCAGACCACGACTAGAGTGCTATATGAAGATATAAGCACAGCATCCTTTAAATCAGATGAAAAGCTGTAGCATTTTAAACAACGGTCTAGCTGTAAGTAAAATTTTGGTGTTTTGTCTCAATGCTGATAAAAGGACATTCTAATTTTATATAACATCGCAGACTTCTTAGGCACCTTTCATCATATATGTCAATGTTCTTTACCAATACTAATTGAATTTCAGTAGAGTACTTTTAAAATAACCAAAACATCCATATGAAAAATTTTAAAACGGAGACAGAAAGGTTAAACAGCTTGTGACCTTGGGAAAAGCAAATAGAAAAACTGATGATTTCTAACTACTGTGACTTAACCACAAATCCATCCTCCTTAGCACAAGCTATGTAGTCTTCAAGAAAAAAAAAAAGAGCAGCAGCTTTGAGTTAATAACCTGCTCTATGAATAAATTACTGAGCTACTTTGATAAAACTGATTAGAGCGGAACTAGGAATATTTTCTTATGCCATCATCACTTGATTTCTTTTCAAATCCAAGTCTCCCCAACTGTACACAGTCTTGCAAGTAGCCTGAAGCTGCCTCACGCTGGAACTACTCCCACTACGCTCTCCTCCCCAGATATCTTCAGTTAACATATAGAAACAAATTCAGCTAAAGATATGGTATTACTGTAAAGAACTGACAAAGAAAAAGGGAGTTGCAATGCTAATTATCTTGAATAAGGTTTAGAGTACTGATGATATTACCAAATCAAACAACATAATACTGGAGTTGTGCCACTGAGCATTTTTAAGGCTGCTGCCCATACAGCCAGTGGTAAAGATAATAATCAAGAAATGGTTATACATTTAGCTTGGCTTTGAATGTATTCGTTTCCTCTTTCTATGGGTCAAGGCAGGTCAGATGTTTTCCAGAGTATACTGAACATAAATAATTTAATGTTCTTTTGAAAATAGCGTTTTACTGATGAACAACACAACTGACCTTTAGAATATTTAGCTTTTTATGTTAATGCACACAATATATCTGACAATTTAAGTATATATGTATACATCATCTGTACATATTGCATACATTACAGATTGAAAAGGTTACCAAGTTCTCACCTCACCTATGACATAGGTAACTGGAACATCTGGTATTCCATCAGCAAATCTATATACAATTTCGGCATAAGACACTTCCAAAGTGGATCAGATGCTATGTAATTACACTACAGCATACAGTAATGTACTATTATCACCATGCACTGACTGTATAGATAATTTGCTAAAAGAATACAACAGATCTAGAATTTTCTCTCCAGGCCATTCTGTGAGGGTTTTGTGTTAAACTGTAACTTAAACCCTCATGTACTGTTGCTTTACAAATTGAAGTATTTCACAAACCATTTATTTATAACCAGCTTATTATTAAGTATCAACAGGAAATATTCAGAAACAGCAGACCAACACTGATCAATATAAACAGTACTTCAGCCAATGCAAGACAATGCTGCAGCAGGGTATTAAATTAGGATTCAACACATTCAGCTCATTTCATACCTTGGCACCTTCTGCAGGCAACTCATGACGTCTGTGTTTCCTCATAAATCCTGGATCAGAACTTACGCGGTTATGCCTTCCATTTATGTTTGAAAATGCAGTAAGTCCTGGTTTGGGAGAAGCATCACTCCCTATTCGACATCCTACTAGCTGACTTGTCCCAAACACATCTCTGGGACACCAGCCTTCAAGGGGCATCGGCTGGTCTCTGGAAGGCACGCTTTCCGCATGATGCAAGTGTCTGCTTATCCTGTTGTCTGGTGGAATTGGAGGGGGTCTCTCCGGTGGGGGTGGTGGAGGATCACGCAAGGGAGGTGGCGGTGCCGGCAAAGGTTTGTCTTGTTTCCTCACCATACAAGGAGAAGACTAAAGAACACAGCAAGTTTAAAAAAAAACAGTTACATATAGGCATGCCTATTTCTCTCATGATCAAGTACAGCTTTACCATTTCTAACTGAGATACTGTCAAGACATCACAAGAGTATTTGCCAGTACGTTAAATGTCAGTCTCGTCTTTGCATTCTGCAAATAACCTGGCCTTTTTTCAGAAAGCATGCCCCCTTTTTTGCCATTGCACGAGTAACCCAAGGAAGGAGGTAGATGGGAGAAAATCAAATTGAGGCACATTTATCTGACCCGTATTTTTTTTCCAGAATCCTTTGCTTTAATCCTTTGAATCATTTATTTAGCTGCCAAAATGAATTTCGAGGAATGTTTGGAAAAAGATGAAAACCAAGTTACCAGAAGAGGGAAAAAAAAAAAAAACAAACAAAAAGCCAAATCAATACCCCAACCTATACAGGTAGCTGTATAGCTTTTAAGAGCACAAATCTGATAAAACCAAAATCTTTTCATTAGCAGTGAATTACTAACACTATTTTGCAAAATAACACTTGGGCCAGCTCTTTAAGAAATATTTTTCTCTTACCACCAGCTACCATAAGAAATACAGGGAAGATTATTTCCCTTCTAAGGTGTAATTTTCATGGACTCTGGTAAGCCTGCGTATTATTAACACTTGAAGAGATGAAGGCCACAAAGGTTTTAAAGCAAGAATAGTACTTGCTCTCACCTCACAGGTTAGCCCACATTATTCTTCATGTTACATGTTACTTAGATTGAAAATAAAGTAATTCTACCTGCAGCTCTATTCATATAAATAAAACAGTATCTTAAACAAAGAAGTGTTCAATTCAGCTGCTCATTAAGAAAAATAGTTATTCCCACTGTCAAGGCAGAAGCATAATGACTAGGTCCAAATTTTTTGTTATAGGTTATAGTTACAGTTTTCCATTGCAGAAAGAGATAAGAGTTTTTTGACTGAAGTAGGAGTCTTGGCAGGACTAAATTGTCATCTTCATTTTTAATATGATATTTTTTAAAGTATGAAATGATTCGTTGTTGCCCCCATTTTATTTCCCTTTCATCTCCCTCCCCGGTTTATTTTTTTCCTCAGGAAAAGCTTCAAGGAAAAAAACCAACATTTTAAAAACAACATCACCAAAACATTTAAAGCAATATTAATTGTATTTTTTATTTTCTGTTTTTTTTTGTAAGACATGAACTTTGTAAAAACATGCTATGGTAAAAATAATTTTTAATGGATGTGCCAAATGTTTAGCATATATCCACAATGTGTTATAAATTCCCTTGTATAATACAAAAAGTGATGAAAGAAGATTAAAGACACTATTCAAACTTCAATTTTTTCCTCTAAATCATAAACCACTAGAATCTTAAAAAGAGGTTGATTTTCAAGCTTGAAGGAAAAAATTGACAAAATAAATAGGGTACTTCATACTGGCTTATTATGAGCACACAGGTTTGAAGTCATGTTTTGAACTTCAACTTAAATTTGAACTCATCTAAAAACCAGAATTTAAATCAACTCATAATAGAGAGCAACAAACATATTATTTGTTCTTTTTCATGCTTATCCACTTGAAAAATCATTAACTCTTTAGAATTATGAATTTCACAAAATGCAGCATATAATTTATTAGCTATAGATTCATTATTATTTCCCTTGAAACTTGAGTCCTAATATATGATAGTTAACGTTTTGAAAGCAGAGTATCTGCACATATTTTTCTTGTAAGGATACCGTGGAAATTGACCATAAATCATCATCAGAGCACAACATATAATTTAGATGAGATAATGACCTTAAAATCTATTTTCAGGAAACTTTCATTTCTATTTATATTCATCAATCGGAGTTTATTACAGAATTGATCCATTACAGCAACATCTTTAAAATTCTGACCACAACCAAGTGCAATATAGTCATCAGACAAACAGACGTCACATCTGACCAGCACATGTAGCTGTAAACATCTGACTATGTAAGATACCAGGCAAAGGGACAGGTACTCGCCAAAGTCAACTAAGGGAGATAAGAGATGTAATCAAAGTGGATCTAAAGGTTTTCTAAGCTACAGAGAATTAAAGTTCTTTTGGGCAGAGCAAACTCCTGAAAAGAAAATACACATGGAAATTTTCATAATAGTCTATCTTCCAAAGTTAAAAAGCAAGCTTACCTTGAAAATAACCAAATACAATTTCTCAATATTAGTATATAAAGAAATAATGGTTCAATACAACTTACTTTTGGTGATCCAGTTGGGCTGGCACATGGTGACCGTGCTACTCCCTTCTGAATAAGATCCAGACGAGGAGGTACAGGTGGAAGACTAAGATGTGCGATTTGCAGTGGGTCTGGAAGTGGTTTTCTTCTTTGTGCAAGAGGGGAAGATCCAGGGGAAGTCACTGGTGAATTCTGCCTCTCATTGCACTTCAAGACAGAAAAAAAATATTACTAGTATCTACCTGATGACCAAGTATAGAACTTCCATTCCATGACTAAAACATTTGATACTTATCAGGTACTTACTAATAGTAATTTATCATAATGGACACCCTGCTACTCTCAATGAATAGAAAGTATAGGTGCTCAGCTTACAGTTACTGACAAAGAAGTCAAGAAGTCATTCTACCCCAAAACTAAGAGCCATGTTAACTTGTGATGACAATAAAAGAATGCAAGTAATTTGTTTAAAAAAACAAGTAATTGTTGTCAGGCAAAAGTACACAATCACAAACGTAGATATTCTGCTGTAGTACTGCTACTCTTAACGACCTTTTTATTCATAGAGAGTACTCCATCTAAAATCCTATACATGACTTTTAAAAGTTGGACACCTACGGTATTGCCTGTTAACTACAGCCCCTTTTCAAATCAGATTTCCATAGAAAATGGAAACTACGTGTCTTCTGAAAAATCAAAATCATCAGCAAGCCAGTAGGCAAAGCAGTTATTTCTTCCTCATTTATTTGCTGATTTACAAAAATCATTTTAGGACAATTCAGTTTATCATTTTAGCAAATATTAAACAAATGACGCACACACAATTAACACCAGTGACAAGTTATAATATTTTTTTTCCTGGAGTTGTCCTTTTGAATTCATCAGAACCAAAGACTTCAATATTGAATACAGGCTCCACTCACTTTTGCCACTAGTTCCCGAACTTCATCTGGCTGAGTTTTACCAAACACAGTTTAGTTGTTTGCAGAAATTGGTTCAAGTTACTTCTGTGAATCCACTGTATTTGTATCACTGTATGGCAAGCAAACCTGGATGCTTATACTGCTCTGTGCTTTCCCTGGCAGTAGACACGAGTAGCTGGAAGACATTCACACCAGGCATCAGCCTGAGGCCACTTGTGCACTGAGGCATCCTAGTACTCTCGCTGCACAACTTGCCTATAGGGACTAACAATCTGCCTTCTTCTTCAGGCAAGCCTGCTAAATTGCTCACAAAAATGCACCCATCTCTAAGCTAAATCACTGATGAAAACCTTTCTCCTCTTTTCATAAGCTTTTTCTCACTAATGCTATACACGCCAAAGTGATGACAGGGATGGAACCAGGAAGTTCTTTAACAAGGTAAACAAGTAAACAACATTGCCTTTCTTTACATACAGTGACTATGTTAAAGAATCTGAAAACTTCACAAATTTAAAAGGAGATCAAGAAAAATAGTCTAGTATACTGAGTCCTTATGCTATGCACTACAGTTTAGTTCAATATTCTGTTCTATACGATTAGGATTGCTACCAGATTTCCTTCAAAAATATGAGCCACCACAGTATCACTGGATAACACTGCAAGAAAAAATGAGGCAGAGGAGTGAGGTGGTGATGAGGAGCTAGGAGGCTGAGGTTCAATTCCTTTGCCAGAATGATTCTTTTGTGATACACAGGGTCTTACCACTTGGTCTACATGTGTAAGCTCAGTGTCACAACTACATATTCAGTTTCAAGAGATCGAGCAACTCAAGACTGATGCTCTCCATGGCTTCCAGAAGCTTCTCATTCTCCTTTTTATAAAGAAGCAGTCACAACGTTGGGGTTAAATGGCTCGAATATAGCCCTTAAATTTTGTTTCCTTTAATTGGTGAATGTCCCTGACCTTGACTGGAAGTCCATGAGGATAAACACATGAATGACTGTGAGGTGCTTAGCCTCTCTGAGCATTATGGAAAGCTGAATAACTAAGCTAGATATGTATCTCACAAGCATGCCTGAGCAATCATAATTATAAAATTACTATAAACTGAATGTCAATTTGTTTTCCTTAATGGAAGGCATCTATCAGTTAATAGCATAATAAACACTGTATCATTTAATAACATTAGTTTTCGAAGTGTAGTTCTACCTCCATCAAGCATTCCTAAAAACCAAGAGCCATGTAATATAATAAATTAAATGTTCTGGCTTCGGCATCAAACAGAAAATGAATTTATTTCCCAAATTATTTGAAATAGAACCAAATAAGGAGGTTTCTCACCTCCAAAAAGATACAATTAAAGATAGAAGACATAAAATAAATGAAAGTGTTGTAGTAAGTCTCTACATTTTAGGTGTTGCACAACATACTGTGTCTCAGCCAGCAGGGAATTGCTTCGCAAGATCTAAGAAACAATCCTATATATAAAATAGGAGTTGGAAACAAAGAATAAGAAAAAAAAGGAAATACTGAAAACACAGTGCTAGAAAGAAAACATTTGTGTGGAATTTAAGTTATGATCATACTATCACGTTAATTAACCCAACTTCCTGAGAGCATGACACACTGTGTGTAGTTATGGGAATCCACAGCTAAATGAACATTGTCATGACAGCATTTTAAGAATATCCATCACTGTTTCACTATGACGACCTTCTCTTACACAGTTCTGCCCTACAGAATCACTAGGCAAAAAGATATGCTCTTCCTTTAGTGAGCCCACTGGTTACTGCCACAACAGTCCAGCTCCTGCAGTGACAGAAATCATGGAAATAGTCACATTTAAAACCCACTGGGGTCTGATGCAATCATCAGATTTATGGAAACAAGTGGCTGAAAGACACATCTAATACGCAGTAGGCAACAACAGAAAACGAGAACAACATGAAAATTTATTCAAAAATTCAAAATTCTTAGAACCTAACATGGTTTTAACCCTGTTGAAGCAGGAGATGAATTTATGTGATAAACTTCTGGTTCCATATGTATTTGGTATTTAGCTATCTTGACCCACCATATTCCATGAATGGTAAATCACAACGTCCAAAATGGAAATTTTTCAAAGTCTTAATTGTGTGAAAGAGCTTCAATTTAATCTTACATCAATGTCTTGCTTCAGAATAGCAAAACAATCTTTCAGTCCCCTGAACTACTATTGCCTACAGTCATAATGCTATCAGAGTGTGCTGTGGTCCCAAAGATTTCAGAAAGAGAACTGATGATGGCCAACAGATGGCCAACAAGAATAACTTACGAGGCATGAGGAAAAGAAGAAAAAAAAAAAAAGCTGATAGCAAAAACAGTTTCTCTCCCCTACAAGGAAGCTTAATCCATGTCACCGCTTGGTGTTGAAGACAGACAATGCTTTGCTGGGAGAAACTAAAATTATGATTTTTTGTTTAGATCTACTGAAACTAAAAATAAAACAAACCAAAACATTCCACAGAAACAAACAGGTTTTCTTCAGCATTCAGTATCAGATTTCCATCACATTCCCATTATAAAAAAAACCCTATTTTCCTGTCCACTCTTATCCAACCTGTCCAGCTGCATCACTTGACGTTTGTTGACAGCTAGACCAACATGATGGCTGCAATTCACGTGGATACCAGGGCATTAACAGATGTACATAATAACTATTCTTTTTGGCAGACTCCCTCAGGACAAAGAGAATTGAAATTTTTCCGTTTGTCACCTACTGGAGATTTCTGTTATTTTCTATCCACTGGAAATCAAGCAGCAACGAGAGCAGCACCGTGACAAAAAGATAAGGCAAGCGAGCGATCAAGACACAGACTAATACAAATGAACTGGCAGTGACAGAAGACAGACCTGCAGCGTACAAAGGGGCTCTGCTGCAACACGCACAGACCTGTGCAATAAAGAGGTAATTAAGGAAAAGAACACAGGCTCCTTTGTAACAACACGGGCTTCATCCGGTTGGCATGACTGCTGCCAAGGGAAAAGCAGCTACGACTGACTTCGCAACGGTACTGCAGAGCAAACCACACTTGTTATTTAATCAGATGCATTTATTACTGGGATATACTGGTGTGAGCTTGCTCCTAGTGGTTGTGAATTCAAGAATAATGCTGCTTCTGACATGGACTGCAATTTCTAGTGAAGGTTCTTCTGATGGAAACATTAGCAGTCAGCCTACAGAATTAAGAGTTTTAGCTTCGAATGCCTTTCTGCCAGATAGACATATATGAAAAGTATGGCCAACACAAATCCTGATAAGCGACTGACTGATGAATATATTCCTGACTGTTAATGTCCTGCTGGAGCCAGTTCAGCAATTTATAGATTTCATAACAAGACATTTAAGAAGGTCAAAGCAGACCTACACCAGGAGTGGACTTTTAATTTCCACGTAGTTCCCTGAAGTTTCTTTATTTATAATCAGATAAGGGTAACTCACGTATTTCTTGATTCTTGTTATGATAAATTGTGACCTAGACAGATTAGTATAATCTGGACTTAAAAATTTGTATGAGGACATAAAAGTTATATGCCTTAACACTGACGGTTGTAAACATTTTTTACATAGAGGGGTTTGTTCTTTATTTCATCTTTCCTTTGCTGACCCAAGGAAATTGCATGTGAAGGAGAGAGAGGGAGTTAAGGCTGTGAGAGCCAGCACCACACTGCCCCAGGGAACCAGTAAAACACATTTTAACTAAAGGAGGCACACTGCCTCCCAGTATTTATGCCTCTTTCAAATACTAATAACTAAGCAGTTAAGGACTCTCTTGTTGTGCGGCACGATTTCAATAAATTCCCACAAACCAGATGTACCCTCAAGAATGAACTGACATGTATGTATGAGTCAAGAATGTACAGCTGAAGGGAATATCTGGATATGTATGTGAAGTGAGCTTTTTTTTACATATTCCTGTATTTTATATAATTAAATTTAAAATGTTATTACTATGTAATACATGGCTTTTTCCATTATCAGAAAAAAGTACATTTAATCATATGGAAATGAGTGGGAGGAGCCAAAAACTCAGTCTCCTAAATTTCACAAACCAAGGTCTTTTGTCATGATCTGTTAAGTTTGACCTAACTCATCTGCTGGATGAAGCCTAATCATGACAAACAGTCATTTTCAGCTTCACAAATTTCCTCTGTTTCAGAGTAACAGTGTGAATCAAAGTCAGGTTTTGGTGCATTCAGACAGCTAGGAAACTAACTCCAGATAAAAGAGTAAATATTCCCAAGACAAAGTAACTTCATCTAGTTTCAGAAGAAAGTGTTTTTGTAGGATGTTAATTCACTTCAAGCTATTGAAAACTTCATTTCCTATAGTGCTAGGGCCTTCCTCTATGTTTTTATGAAATATTATTTGGATCAAACAACCATCTTAGCACTTCTGAATTCAAAATTATTTGCTCTTAACACGAACTCTCGCACTATGACTTTTCCGTATTTTCTTTCTTTCTCTTTAGAAGTGTATCTAATTAAGTCTGGTACAAGGCAAAGTGACAGGTAACTCTTAATTAATTGGGACAATGGAATATCAAACATTATGGAATAATAAGCATTGTCTACTAGAGACTCAAATCCCCTCTTTAAAAATTAAAAAAGTAATTTTTAATATTTACCTGAGCCTGTAATCTGCACATTTTTTTAATGTCCTTTTCATAACATTGTGCTTGGCTAGCACAAACAGTATGGAACTGAGAAAAGGAACAGGTAATAACTTCATTAGCTAATCTGATACCATGGGGCTGGAAATTCCTCTGCGATGAGACAAATTAACAGAGGTTTTGCCACCACCTTTCATCGTTCTTTCATAAAAAAATATCTGAAGACAATTTGGAAATAAAAAAAAGTAAGTTGTTTGATGAGGCAGATAAACTAATTGCAGTGGATTTGTCTAAAGCCTCTGTTACAGCTGATCTACTGCTGCTGACTCATATACAACACCTAGCAAGAATGATGCATTTTTCTTAAAGTGTATCCATTTACTCGCTCCATTAAAGAATGAGTAAGTGGCTTGGTGATTATCCTTTTCCTTAAAGAAATTTCAAATCTGAGGTCCCTCAGGGACTTAATTCAGATACCTCTTACAGTTTATGAGCACACTTCAGAGCTGCATTGGTATTTTTTTGACATCCAATTTATATTCATAATTCATACAGGTACAGTAGGTGATAAAAAAAAATGTATCTTCTTTACACTTTAATGACAATTCCAAGAAGTGTTTTTCAGCTTTTCATTTTGTGAAGAGCAGCTCACTTAAAAACCCACCACAGGCCCCTTAATCAGTGATGAACCGCACTGCATGCGCTTCTGAAACAAGCTTACTGCAACTATTCATTGCATTATGAATATATTTCCAAGCAAAAGTCTCAGAGATAGTGAAAACTGGTAGTAGCAGCTTAGAAACATTTCAACAGTGCCCCTCCCACATGTCTTTCAGGACAAGAAGTATTGATTTGAACATTTCTGCAACACATAATGAAGCCCTATAGTCACTTTTATCAGGACTTCATGCCCCTGGAATTTTCCTCTTCTAGCAAGTTTAACATCCCATAGTAGCCAGATATGCCACAAGAAGATTTTCTCAGTAATACCACACGGTCTAGCCAGATGATTTGAGACAAAATCATTTGATTTTCAAGGATTAACGGCTTTTTGTCGAGAACGCATATGACAATCCTTGCAATAAAACAAAAATTGAAAAATCTGTTCATTGGGATTACAAAGCAACAACTAAATTATTGTCTTTGTCATCTAACTTCCATTGTTTCAATAAAACAAATTACTACAAGACAGTCATTATGCAGCACCATGTTCATATCAACAGCATTAACAAGAAACAAAAGTCAAAAAGAGCACAATCCTACATATAGCCATAGAGGGAAAAAAGAATTTTTTCCAGCAGACACTGAAGAAACACTGTTTAGCAGGAAAATAAATAATGATTAAAAGAAATAGGCAAGGCTGACAAAGGCATTACTAACAAACAGTGCATATAAATAATGCCACCATACCACACAGGTGGTCTGGTTCAGAGCATCAATGTACAACCACTGGTAACAGTTTTAAGAAGAAAACAGCAGTTGAAAATCACCAAATGACCTGATAATTCAACATTTTCAAGGGCATCAAGAGGCTAACAAAGAGTGGAAAATGTTGTTCCTAAACTTGAGGGATAATTAGTAGGTTTCTTTCACTGAACAATGAAACTAGTGACATAAAAATAGCAAGCATCAAAGCTCTCAAGCACTTGGTGGATACTGCAAACAAGACTTCTTATAGTAAAGCCTATTGTTCCTTCTTTTGATAAAAGCATAATGCATTTGCCTTATCATGGAAGTGATAGTATTATAAAAGCCCATCAATTCAAGGCTATCTCACAGAGGTCAGGCTGCAGATCGCAATTTAAGTCCAGGCAGGAAGGATAAACTGCTCCCAAGAGTAGGACATGTTGTATCACATACACAAGAATGATTCATATGACTTAAGAGGTTAGGAAGGGTATCAGAAGTATGTATACTAACTGACAGACACTCTCAGATATGAGGGTGAAACAGTTGGTGTGTTTTTTTTTTTTTTAAAAAAAAATACAACCATATGGAAATGGGAGAGTAAAACGTTACAGAATTAATTCCAAGGCAACTATTCAGTCTAGATTACTTCAGTAAGAGGTAAAATATAGAAAATGCACTGTAAAATTCAGTGTTGCATGGTCTATGTCAGTATCTATTCCAGGCTAAAATATAGTAGTGAAAACTACTAACATAAACTTTTGTTAACGATAGTGATCATTTATCAGCGATAAAATCTCCTGTGACCAAAGAAAGATTCCAGAATTTAACACAGAGCACTTTCAGGACAAGAAACATCCCAAAACACAGTCAGCATGAACAATCTCAGATACACTTTTCCTGCTAAAAGTACCTAATACTAAAAATACAGGGAAAAAAAGAAATCATAGACACCTCACATGAAACATGACTAAAGGCTACTTGTGTGCAATATGAACTGGGGTCCAAAGTCACCTTTACAAAGCAGTAATACTTACAACTCATTTAGAAACTCAAGTTTAACCCTAAAACATTCTGTGCATGTGTATACACACATATACAGAATATATTATTAGTTTTCTGCACATATGAAATTTTTTGTTCCTTACAAACAAAAGTTCAGGGAATTGTCCATACAGTGTATTTTGGATAAGAGTCTCAGCTGGCGCAAACTCATGCTTCCTCCTTACAAACAGAGTTGACACAGCTCACATCAGCTGAGAATCTGAATTTTTTTTTCCTATTCAACTTCAGTATTATTGCTGCAATATTGATGCTTTTTGGTTTTTTGACCCAAGAACTGTTCAGTGAGTTGCTGAAGCCTAAAGCATGAAGTGCAGCCTCTCATTATTTGAAGTTACAGGCAGCTTCATTTACAAACGTACAGCTTTATCTGTTGTACAGTATTTGAAAATTTACCTTTCGGACTGAAGCCAAACGATTCATCATTAAAGACTCTTCTCTATCATCGTCGTCATCCAAGTCCAGCATGGGCATACTAAAGCTATCAATAATACTGCAGCACCTGGAGTTTTCATCCCTTGGATCAAAGGGATCCACAATGATTGGTTCAGTTCCTTTGATTTCACAGCGGCAGAAAGGACAGCCTTGGCCATCAGATTCCTACAGCAAGACAAAAAAGTACATACATTTTTAAAAATAGAAACCAGAAAACAGATTCACAGCAACTTGCGAGACCCCACCTGGAGTACTGCGTTCAGTTCTCCGGCCCCCAACATAAGAAGGACATGGAGCTGTTGGAGTGGGCCACGAAGATGATCCAAGGGCTGGAGCACCTCTCCTATGAAGACAGGCTGAGAGAGTTGGGGCTGTTCAGCCTGGAGAAGAGAAGGCTCCAGGGAGGTCTTCTCCTAAAGGGGACCTACAAGAAACCTGGAAAGGGACTTTCTACAAGGGTGTGTAGTGATAGGACAAGGGCCAATGGCTTTAAACTGAAAGAGGGGAGATTTAGATCAGATATAAGGAAGAAAATCTTCACCTTGATGGTGGTGAGGCAGTGGAACGGGTTGCCCAGAGAAGTTGTGGATGCCCCATGCCTGGAAGTGTTCAAGGCCAGGTTGGATGAGGCTTTGAAAAACCTCATCTAGAGGAAGGTGTCTTTGCCTATGGTGGGGAGTTGGAAATAGCTGATCTTTGAGGTCCCTTCCAATCTAAACCATTCTCTGATATTTAACTATAGCAAATGGAAAAATGACTGCACTTTTAAAGCTGTCTCTCTTCAGAAGATTAAGCTTCACTTAAAAATAACTAATCAAAATGCAACTATTATCTCTACAAAGCACCAAAATAGTGATTGTTTTAGTATTACAGGTCAGGAAGCAACACGTTGCCTTTTAGAATTACAATTTTCCTATTTCTTCATAGGGAAGAAGGTGAGGTGTGTGGACAGAGATTATGCATTTCATTGTGTATCTTTTATATTGAATAGAAAGTATTTTTTTTTCATTTTGAGTTAGAAAATGCAGATGAATTTTAGGGCATGCAGCTCTTATTATCTGAAGAACATATTTACAGTCCGTCATGGCTGCAACACCACCATCATTCAGTGATATGCACACAGAACAGCTAAAGATACAAACATTTTTTTTGACATGTTTAAGTAACAAGCCAGGACTTTACTACATTTTCAATAAGTTATGTAAATCAAGGAACTATTTTCACATGTTATTAGAAACAAGAATTACTTGAATTTTAATTTCTAAGTGGTATAATGCGTTAAATGATTTTCAAGCAGCCATATTTCTATTCCTTTTCCTTAATTCAGAAATACTTTTTTTGCTTGTCAGAAGTAATGAAAAAGCCTTTAAAGTAGATTTCAGACTACTAATGAACAAAAATATCAGAGAGAATTCTTTCAAGCACTTAAAGAAATTTTTCCATCAAGAGGCACAATATAGATTTGAATTTAAAAACAAAACAAAACACACCCAAAAGAACCCTGAAGCTTTGAGAGATCAAGATAATTCAATCTGAATTCAGAAATCATGTTGTGTCATATTTGCAGTCAGGTAGACAGCTAAAAAGATACAAAAACCAAAACAAATTCTTATCAATCTACCTATCCTGAAATATCATCAAGCAAGCACAGCTTTTTGATTTCTCAGATGTAAGGACAGCTTTCATTTTTTTCTAATATTATTTTTATCTTGACACTTGCCAGTCTAGCTAAACTGAGAGATGATTTTATAGTTTGTGGAAGAACTGTATCCCAAGGACAGACAGCTATAAATGATGTCTCCTGACAACAGCTATGTTTATTTGCATGGTTAGTACTGGATTTTCATTTTGTACTGAAAGATATATGTAATTTACTTTCAGAAGCCTTGCATCCTACTTACAAAGGACTAATCAACATCACTTAATACCTCAAAGAGTGCCTCCAAAATTATATGGACCTATTGACATAATCACTGTCAAGTGAACAGAAGTCCTCCCTTACACACAGAATTCTTTAGTTTCATTTTCTAAAAACAGCCTTATGGATGAGGCACAGAGCTTTTCATTTTTAAGGCTTTCTTGTACCTGCGTTGTCAAATAGTTCTGTACTAGCAGTTTCTTT